CAGGAATGGGGGGTCCCAGCCTGGCGCCGCTCCCAAACCCACCCGAAATCCACCCAAAGCCATGGGAACCCAGCCCCTCCGCCCGGTACCTGCCGCCGGCCCGCCCCATCCCGGCCCCGGGAAGTTGATGCCGGTGACGCCGCTTCCCTTCCAGGTCACGGCCGGGCTGGGCCAGCCCCGCTCCGGCTGCTGCCGCTGCCGGCACCGCCTCGGCCGGGGGAAACAGCAGCCGGGTTATTTACGGCACCCAGCCCTGGAATCGATAAAAAACTCTAGGGTGAAACATCTTCCTTCCCGTGTTTTCCTTGAGGAAAGCAGCAAAGCGAGGAGGGCGGAGGATAAATGGGAAAGGAGCTGGAGACACGAGCCAGCTCCCAGGCTGGGCCAGCACTGCCACCTGGTGCCATCCTGTCACCCACCGGGGACAGCTCCGCAGGCGCTTTGGATTCTCATCTTAGCGACCCGCGGAAGTCCCCAGCCTCCCAAAAAAATACACTGAAAACCGGGCAATGGCAGAGGCTGGAAAAATCCTTTACAGGATCACGAGTTCCAAGCGCCAGGGCCACCACCAACCCTGTCCCCAGGTGCCACATCCAGCCTGGCACCTCTTTGACACCTCTGAGTCACCAAAGCTGGAACTCTGAGCCTTGAGAAGGGAATCGGGGCACATCAGCACAGCTTCCATTCACCCACCCCCATTTAAACACCACAAACTCCATGGAATTGTATTTTTTATTTCCATTTTCCAAGTTTCAGTCAGAATATCGGCTTCAAAAATAAATGAAGTAAGGGTCAAATGAACTTGTGGGATAATGAAACAGCAACCCTAAGCTACAGCTCCACAGGGGAAACTCCAGGAAATATCTTGACCCATTAAATATTGCCCCTCTTCTCCAACAGCAGCTGAAAGGAGTAAGAAAATCACCTTCAGACAGCATCCAAGAGATCGTTGGGAGTAGAGGAACAGACTAGAAAAACTCAGGTTTCCTATTTCCAATGATACCAGGATAGCAAAATAGTGAGTTGAAAAATATTTACAAGGATTATCTACAAAACACAGCTACAGTGCTCCCAGGATGCTCCAAAGCTCTGGAATTGCCTTCTCCAGGCAGGAGCAGATCCCCCCAGTCCTGCTCCAGTTAAGAGTCATCCTGCTGGTCCTCGATCTTTGGGGCCAGGTAGTACTTCAGGTGTCCCATGTCAGCGATCTTGTACTCCACAACTGGGGAAGAGAATGGAAAAAAAAAAGGGATGTTCAGAAGGTTTTCCATAAAATCCAGCCTCAATTCCAGTTCTCCAGAGGCAGAGCTGTGGAACTCACCCAGAGGGACATCTGCAGACATGCTGAGTGTGACCGTGGGGGACAGCGGCGTGGCTTTGGTGAAGAAGTTCAGGTACCTCAGGGCGAAGGTCAGCTGGACCGGCTCGTTCATCTCGATTGTGACCTGGGGAAGCAGGGCAGGCTCAGGAAATGCAGCTGCAGGGATCCCAGAGCCCTGGGCCACCTCAGCAAGCTCAGTGCAGCTCCCAGGGCAAGGTGAGAACTGGAGGGACTCCAGGAACCAGAGTGAGACACGGCCGTGTCCCTGCAGGGCTTGGACTCGGTGACCTCTTCCACCTTTTCCACCCCCAGCTATTCCCTGATTCCAGGATCCCCCACAGGGCAGAGAACTGACCCCTGAGCCTCCCCACTCACAGCCTCCTCCTCCTTGTCCACGTTGCTGGTCTGGGACAGTTTGATGTTGCCGTTGCCCAGCTCGCCGTTGGCCGAGAACTTGACACCGTCCTTGGCGCAGGAGATGACCACGGCGTCACCGATGTGGCTCAGGTCCCGGCAGATGCGGGCAAACTCAGCCGAGGGCATCTTCACCACACAGCTGTACTCCTGCTCCTGGGGGGGACGCAGGGACACCCTGGGGCACTCACAGTGACACCCTGCCAGCCCTGGGAACTCCCAGGGACACCCTGCCAGGGCTGGGCACCCCCAGTGACACCCTGCCAGCCCTGGGTACCCACAGTGACACCCCCAGGGACACCCTGCCAGCCCAGGCTTCTGGGGGGGGACACATGGACACCCCCAGGGACACCCTGCCAGCACCAGGCTCCTCCAGCACTCCAAAGCACGCTGTGTTACCAGAACTGATGTCAATGTGCCAAACACCCAGTTCCACACCAGTCACCTGAGCCGTCACTTACTGGGATTCCCAGCTGCTCCACATCGAGATCCATCAGCTTCATCTCGTAATCAGAAACCTTTTCCTGGTCTGGAGAAGCAAAGCACAGTTACACCCCGTGTTTACAACAAGTGACAAACATCAGTTTAACTGCTGCCACTCCCTCCAAGTGGAGCCACCTCAATAATGACAGGAAGATTTTCCTTAGAGCTGGAACTCTGGGAAGCCTTTACAGGCTGTAAGGGTACAGCAAATATAGCTGTGTGCAGCCTGTAAGAGCCTTCCTCTTACAAAGAAAGTATTTATCAAGGTGATGAAGTTTTAATTTCCAGACTGTTCCCAGAATCAGGTGTCCCTTCCCATTCCTGCAGGATCCTTTGCCATTTCGCTCCCTGCTGCATCCCTGTGGTTTATGAAGCTGCCTAAACACATCCCAGTAACAAAGGAGCTCCCAAATCCAACACTCACTGGGTGCCTCGAACACCAGGGCCAAGGTGTCTGCGTTGTCCTCAGCCCGCAGGGTGATGATGTCCTCGTTCCCTGCACATTTCAGGATTTTGGACATGCTGGAAGGGAGAAAGGCAGGTGACTCACGGGGCTGAGAGCTGACAGGGCTGGAGGGGATGTGATATCACAGTTATCAGAGTCTCCTTTTAACGCTGTTAGAAAAGTGGGTGTATGGGGAGACTCCGCAGCCTCTCTGGCCAATCTCTTCCAGTGCTTGGCCACCCACAAAGTTCTTCCAGATATGCAGAGTGGAACTTCCCTTGCATCAGTTCCTGCCTGTTCCTCTTCTCCCATGGCTGGGCCCTTTGGAGCAGAGCCTGGATCCAACCTCTGATCTCTCCCATGGATATTTATACGTGAATTTCCCTCTCTCAGCAGTCTATTCCCGAGGCTGAAGAGCCTCAGCTCCCTCAGCCTTTCCTCATAACCGAGATGCTCCAGAGCCCTCATCTTTGTCACCCTCCGCTGGACCCGCTTAAGGAGCTCCGTGTCTCTCCTCTCTTGAGCCCAGAGCTGGGCACAGCACTCCAGAAGCGCCTCACAGGGCTGAAACGATCACCTCCCCGGCCTCATCCTGCTGCTCCCCATCATTCTGTACTTTCCCAGCGCCAGGCCAAGGAGCTGTCACCCGCTTCCCTCAGGAGGGGCCATGGCGGCGACCCCGCCACCGCCGCCTTTTCCCGCCACTTGGCGCCGGCAGTGACGTCACGGCCGCGACGGGCCCCGCGCGCGCCGCGAAAAACGGCGCGAGAACAGTGAGGGGAATGGCGGGGGGGGAAGAGAATGGCTGAGGGAGCTCCGAGCGCCCCTGGACCCCCAACACCTCCGAAGCACCCCCTCACACCCCCTGCCCCGGCAGCTCCCGCTCCCCTCAGCGCCACAGCCGCCGGGCCTGCTGGGCCGCCCCATGCCAGCGCCCTTAGAGACGCCGCCGCCGGCTGACCTGGACAGGTTGACACCCATGGCGATGTTGCGGTCGCAGCGGTACGTGTCAAAACCCTCCGATCGCAGCGTGAGCTGCACCAGCGAGACGTGCGAGGAGTCCATGCTCTGCAGGCTGATGCCGCCCGAGCCCAGGTCCCAGCAGGCCTCGGTGATGAGGTCTTTGAGGGCCTCTAGTACTCGCTTGAGTACCGAGCCCTGCACCAGCCGCGCCTCGAACATCTCAGCAGCAGCAGCGGGAGCAGCACAGGCACAACGGGACAGCGGAAAACCTGAAAATCGAGTGAGACCGCCCCGCAACAGCCTTATATGCACTCCGCTGCCCCGCCCACCGCCGCTCTGCAGCCAATCACCAGCGCCGCTCTCCTCCTTCAGCCCAACCCCTTCAAGCTCACATACGGGTCCTCGCCGCCTTCTAGCCAATCCCAGCGCCGCTCCTCCCTTTAGTCCCGCCCCTTCGCGCGGCGGGAACCAATCACCGCGCGGGTTACAAAGACCCGCGTCCCGCCTCGCTGCGCAGCGATGGCGGCAAGGCCCGATCCGGTGCCGCGCACGGAGCCTGTCCGTACGGCCGGCTCGAAGGCGCGCTTCTCCTCAGGCACCGCGTCCCGAGCGAAAAGCGGCCGTAACACAAACCCGTTTGTCCCTTAAGACAAACGCCTCACGCTTCTCCCAGCGCCCGAGGACCTTCCCGCGCGTTCACTCGCGCCACACGTCACAGCGCCCCGCACCATCCGGGTACACCTGGGCGCGGCCATGTTTGTCACCGGCCCCGCCCTCGCCCTTTCCGCGCCTCCCATTGGTCAGCGGCGGCTCTGCCGGTGCCGCGGCGCCCCCTGGCGGAGGCGGCGGCGGCGGCGGCGGCGGCTCCGGGATGAGCGAGGCGCGGCTGCGGCCCGGGCGCGGCCCCGGCGGGGCGCGGGACCCCCAGGACAAGGTGCGGAGCGGCTCCGAGGGGCGTGAGGGGGCTTCGGGCACGGGGGGAACCGGGGAGCGCCGGGGGGCGCGGGGCCTGCTCGCCGCGGGGTCTCGCCGCCCCGCTGGGAGGCCGCTGTGAGGCCCCCGGGCTGCTCCGCCCTCGGGGAATTTGCCCTCGCTCGGGGAATTTGCCCCCGCTCGGTTTATTGGGCCCTGGAGGAGCAGATCCCAGCCCCGGGGCTGTTCCGAGCAGCGGCCCCGGAGCTCTGGGCCTGAGCCGGGTTTGTGGGATGGCTCCGGTGGGGTCACGAACCCTCCCCGGGGCTGGGAGAGCTCGGTGCCCCTCAGGGAATGCGGGGGTTCCAAACCTGCCTTTGGGGAAGGGTTTCTCCGAAATCATCCCTAGGGAGGGACCTGAGGGTTCCAAACCTTCCCTCAGGGTTCCTCCTGAGCCGTCCTGAGGGAAGGAGTTTCCAAAAGCCCTGAGGTTCCTTCAGGGAAGGGTTTGGTGTCTCCTAAACCATGGCCAGGGAATGCCCTCCCTGCCAGGGCTCTGGGCCAGTTCACTGAGGGTTGACATCGCCTTTCTCCAAAGGAAAAAGTTTCCTTTTCCCGGCAGAAGAG